AAACACTGCAAGATCCCACTTATCCCATTGATTCTATCATGTGATGCTTAATTCCAAGCAAATATTCTTTTGCTTCCTCAGCAAAATATCTTATTAAACTATTTGTTCAAAGGGAGGTCTATCAATCTGTGAGGGTCACCTTTAACAAGGTTTCTGGTTGGCATTCCACTGATGCCACATGGATGGAGAAATACTGATATTTCATTGTCCCGAATGCCAAAGGGTAGGCCCGTACTTGATTATATTCAGTTTTGTTTTGTTTTTTTGCTTCCCACCAGAAGTAGTTCAAACATCTTTTTGTTGCTTTATTTCCTGGTTTACCAAGGACCTTCCAGAATTTGTAGTCAAGAAGGCCCACAAAGATACTATGTTGTTTAATATACTTGTAAAGGCAAAGGTTTCCCCGGCCAGTTATGTCTGACTCTAGGGGAAGATGCTCATCTCTGTAACTTAGCTGAGGGAGCCTGCATTATCCAAAGTCCTTTATGTGGTCATGTGGCCAGCATGACAATCCGCCAAGGTGCGTGAAATGCTGTTACCTGCCTATCAAAGTGGTACCTATTTATCTACTTGCATCTGCATGCTTTCAAACTGCAAGGTGAGCAGGAGCTGGGGCAGGAATGGGAACTCACCCCCATTGTGCAGCAGTCAGGGCTCAAACTCGGGCTGTCAGCTTTCCAGCTGACAAGCTCAACATCTTTAAGCACTGAGCCATCATACCCCAAATATACTTGTAGTCTCCCTATTCTGGAGGCTAACCAGGTTTGTGAAAGGGCTGCTCATCATATTGCAATGAAATTCCCCAAGCATCTGTTGAAAGTTGAGCAGATCACTATTCATTCATGCACACACTTGCAGACAACATAGGGAAGCCCTGAAAGCAGTCACACCAAATCTTCCAGAGGCTACTGTAGCCTCAGTGTTTTGAGGAGGAGCTTTTTGTATAAGCGTACTTGCTAAAAGTCACATCCATATTGATGGTAGAAAGCAAAATTAGCAGACTAGAGGGTACTGATTCCATCAGAGAGCTGTTTCATGATCAGCCAATGAATGCTGTGGTTGAGTTAAATATTCTCCTAGTTACATGGATAAATGGCTTCCATATGGTAGAAAGTCTAAAAGGCAACATTGTGCTCTCATGATACAAAGCCATTACTCTTTTGGAAACTCTGAAGGAAGATCTAAACTACTATGCATTGTCAGAACATGTTCCGGCAATGAAAATACTAGAAGTTCAGGTATGTTTTTAGTAAGTGTAGAACTAGTTACAGATTGGAATTTCCATCTTGGAAGCTTCAGGAAAATACTGTTTCAGGTATATTAGTTTTTCATAGTCTGCCAAAGAAAATGTGGGAGTATTAAAAACAAACCTCTGACATGGCTTAAAAGAGAAACACCTCCTGTAAATGCAGCTGTTTCTGAGTAGGAGCTTCTACAAAGGGCGCAAATGTTTAGGACCCACATTGTAGCCTTCAGTATTCCCAAACAAGTGCTTCTATTTCTTTCTTGTCAAATAGTTGAATCACTGGATGAAAAAAAATAAAATAAAACACTCTACTTTCTACCAATGCCAGGAAAATTTGGAGAATGTAGTAAATTTAATTTTTGGAATTTGCAAATACTCCAAGATTTATTTGGATGAAAGATACTATATAGATTTCTCCTGGCTTTGCAAAGCTGAGCAAACTGAAACCCGCATTTATGAATACAGTAGAGAATTCTAAAATGAGAACTTGGAAAGTAGCAAGGGGCAAAACATTTAAACCCGATATAGTCTTACCTCAAAAGACTCATTTTGAGGAGGAAAGAAGATGTATTTTGAGTTTGGAGTGTTTTGCTGTTTGGTTTCAAGCATGAAACAAACATTGGCTGGTATCAGTTGTTCTGGGCACTGTGATTGTGTCTGTTGTCTTTTTGGCTTGTGAGTCAGTGCCTTTTTCAAACTTTTTTCACATGTCTTTGCTGCTAATATTTTAATCTTACCAGGGGAACGGCTGAAAGGAATGTAAAAGACATGAAGCAGGCATGTGCTAAAACATCTTGAGCTTGCTATTTTTTAAACAATTTTTTTTCTTCTGGAGAAGAATTAAAGTGGAATGCATTGGTAAGTTTGCATCAAGTGTTTGCTTGTTTGATACTGCAGGCAAGTACAATAGAGCAAATAAAATATTACCTCTGTTCACATATAAAGGGTGCTAATTATGCTCAAACGTAAATACAAAGACTTGTGGTGCAGAGTTGATGTGCAAACTCTATTGATGTTAAGCACACCAAAAAATGCAAATCCTTTTTGTCTGGGCTAGTTTGTCGAGTATAGCATTTTGTGCACTCTATATGTATTTTCTTATTGTGAATATATTAACTATCCAATGAAGCAGCATTGGCAATTTTAATTCTTTTTCCAACTGGCAGCCCCTATCTCCCCCTTCCCACTACCAAAATATGATACACTGTAATAAGGAACAGGCCCCACGGTGGAAAAATTCCTTCTCTGAAGTGACCAGGGCCTGTGTTGAGTAGTGACTGAAAAAGTAGGCCCTTTGCTGCAGCCACCATCTCTTCATTACAAACCAGTTTCTTCCTTTTGCCACAGCCCTCTGAGGAACCAGGAGAGGGTTGAAGGGGAAATCCCCTTCCTGCCCCAGGGTTTGGGCTGAACTACAGGAAGGGAAACCAAACAAAACTTTTGGAAGTCTGTACCTCAGCCAAGCTAAGGCGGGTCTTAAAAGGCCACTGGTCAACTCCAAGATTTAAACAAAAATCAACTGTATGAAAGCTGCCAAAAGAAGATAAGGTTTTACACACCCAACATATAGTTGAAGAGAGGTAAAACACAAAAACCCCAACACAATTCTAGTTACGGCCAAGCAACTCATTTTCAGCCTTGCCCGAGGTCCTTCTTCTTCCAGAATTCAAGGCAACTATCTCTAAACCCCAAATTTCTCCTGTGTCCAAATCTGATCTAACTACCTTCATTTGGTTTATTGGTTCTCAGGGGTCAGGTGACTCCTGCTGGAGGAATCAGCTGGGCTATGATTTAAAAAGCCAGTTGCTCCCCAATACACACTTTTATTGTATAAATGGAATATTACTCTGTACAGGAAAATTGGCCAAAATAATCTATTATTTTAGTAAGGAAATCTCATAACTAAAGCAAATTGAAGTAAATGATAAAAGGATTACAGCGGAAAAAAAGAACTGTTAATCTCTTGGCTGACAAACCAGGGTGTTTATTTGAAAAAACTGATGAAAATGGTTTTCCTGTGTTGAAAAGCAGGGGAGGGGCCATTTTAATAGCAGATCCTAAACCAACCAGATTTTTCAATAATGGCAGCACAGCTTATTTCCATTGTATCCTATTTAGGTTTTAAAATTTTCATCTTGAACCAGTTCAAAACAAAATGTATTTCGTGCATACTTCTTGAAAGCTGTTTATACTATCCAGGCAAACCAAACAAGAAAAAGTGTAAGGCACGTCTTAGAAACATTCATTTTTACTGTAGTCACACTGCAACACAATCAATAATATAGCTTGAAGGGATATGCTATTTTATGAAATGAATGCCTTAAAGATTAATTAGGAAATGCCTGCTGAAAATCTTGCTGAATGAATAGAAAATTGTCCAGCTTCCATAAGGAAAGTCATTGACTTTCCTTATCCATAGCTCTCTGCTTCTAAAGCTGCTTTGAAATGCTTCCTGGTTTGGGGGAAAGGGGGGAAGCTGCACAAATACTGGAGGGCAACTCAGTATTTGCCTGTTTCTATTCACATACAATTGTGCATCTTGCTTGTGCATGGTACTTGTGATCCAACTAATCTTAGTAGAACTGGAAAGTTTAATTGAAGTACCTGAATACAAGCAGACTAACATAGGGGAACCTTACTATTGCCCCTTTCCAAAATTCATGTTCAGATGTTTATTATACATGATTTACAATAGAATCCACTAGGATTTTAAAGTGAGGTAAAAAAAGTTCTGTTAAAATCATGAAGATCAATACATACACATACATCCTCAAATCCATATTCACAATATTTTAAAATGTGTAACAAAATGACTTAAGAGTACCAGACTTGAAATATCCTGCTATTGATTTCCAATAATTTTGAATCCCATTGCAAATAACAGAAGCACCAGTTTTTAAGAATGCTTTTTTAAAAAATCTCTGAAAAGCAAGCATTCATAGAAGCCCTGCAATGAGAAATACATTTAATGTAGCCCTTGAATATAGTAACATAAAACAAAAAAACATATTTTTATTGCTATTACATGGATTTTTCTTTTTAATGTGCATGCACAGTGTACTTCTGTACTAGGCAGTTTGGTAGCAAAGGAAAAGATCACAGTATTTGCATTTAGCATGTACTGGGGAAAATTCAATAGCAGCGCGCAAAGGGTTCACTGAACAAAAGAGTTCAGTAAAGAAAAGAGTTTTTTTGCCAAATGTAGCACCTGGAATGATAGAAATGGCAAAGTTTTGTTTTAAGCTTAGTATAAACCTAACCTTTGGATTTGGACAACATTGCTCAAAGATAGGTTTTATTCTGAACTTAAAACAGCAGAATGTGTTCCTCATTCCATTAATTTATACAGGAAAAGTTAAGAAAGTTAGTGATTCAAACTTTGAAATAAAAATTGAATTTGAGCTCTGAGTCAAAGAGAGAGGTGAAGCTCTGCATCATTTAAAGGGAAACCACTGTTTTTCAATCTGCCAAATTTGGGACCTAAAATAAATCTTGATATCTGAAAGACTATACCTTTATCTTAACATTGAACAACTTTTGTTAGTTGTAGAACAAATCTTTTTGACATTTAAACAGTTTCTTCCCCCTCCACCCAACTGAGTTGGTGGTGCAGACTGTAAGGCAGGACTAAAGTATTGTTTAAAAAAGAAAAAAGCAGAGGAAAAATGGGAGGCATATCATATTTTGTACAAAATATCCATTTAAACTAAATCTATCAACAAAAACATAATTAATACTAAAATATTTTTATTTGTTAAAACATTTATGCATTTTAACATTAATAATTCAAACACATACCTAAAGATTCCACAATATTTTAATAGTCTACAGTACAGCAGGAGTCGAACATTTTCATTTTTTTAAATGATGGCAATAAATATCTAACTCCAGATATTTCTAATTCTGGTTATTTTATTAGTGTTAGAATGAATTATGGGTGCTTTCAAAGTTCAAGATATCTAGAGCTAGGCTTTACATTTCAGATGTACAATTCCTTTATCCTCAAAACTGAAATGAACCACACAATGAAAAAGAAATTCACACACAAGATTACATTGCTTTAATGAGTACTGGAACCAGGAAACATTACAATGGCTCTCTAGCAATATCATTAAAGCTAACTATACCTTTCTAACTTAATTTGAAAGTTTCTAAGAAAATCCTTTCTGCCTTATTTGCTGCCTTAGTTTTACTATATAGTGTCCCTCACCCCAAATTGTCTGGACATTGCATTTCAAACAATCTTCTCTTATAATAAATTCTAAAGACATACGCCATCAGAAAGCATTTCCCCCCCCTTTCCCTACCCCATCTTGTAAAAAGGACAGCACAGCCATGGGGGCATTCTATAGTTCTGGGCAAGGAGTGCCAGAATTGGTGTGCTGAATGCAAACCTCTGTCCCCAGATAGTTCTTATTCCTCTATCAAAAAGAACGAGACAGACAGAGAGGCTGTATTCTTATCAAAGAAATCAAAAGCTTTTGTGCAAATGCATTTTCCTGACAAGAGTTAAGAGTAACCGCCTGTTAAGTTTTTTTAGGTACAAGTGATGAAGCCAGCAGACAAAGGCATCATTCTCTGCCTGTCGTCAGTAACTTGAGGGCTTTCTGCAGATTCTGCACAGCAGTGCTCACATCTTCATACTGCAAAGCGCTGCCAGCATATTTGCAGTATTTCTGGGCCCTGGCAAAATCTTCGGGAGTCAAACGAATTTCCCCTATGAAAACAGAGACAGGTGACAAAGGTTCAGCTTCCATATATTACACACCCATATTTATTTAACCACCTGAAATGGTTTGCTAAGATCACTGAACAGAAAAGCTGTCTGAAGCTTAAAGTGTAACAGAAAAGCTGTCTGAAGCTTAAAGTTATCTAAAGACTTTAGATAAAGGGCAAATCTCTCTCAAAGTATTGACTTTGAGAGAGATTTGCCCTTTATCTAAAGTCTTTAGAAGCTTCAGTAATCATATTACAATCTGCACAAAAACAAGGACAATATCCTGTGTGTTAACCTTAGATTCTCCCTTTTTTCCCTCAAGCCTGGAGCGCAACTGAGGCCATTCATTGATTCTGCCTCTGTATAATTTGTCGAGATATGGGATCATCTCGTTACAAATTAATGCCCATTCCCTAATGGAAGAATCGAGTACTGTGACATTTTATTTTTCCTGTCAGGTGAAAGAAAGGGCCAAACATGCATAAGATACCAATGCACTGGGAACTTTTTAAAACCCACATTTTGACTAAAGTAGAATGAAGAATGTCCTCATTTGTAATAAAACTATACAACAGTATAGTTGTTAACCCTTATTTCAAATTTAATACACTCATACTATAGAAGCTAAAACAAATGATAGAATAGAAAAGTTCACGTTAAGTCTTTTTTACATGGCAATTCAATGGAAAGTACTGTCTGTATAATATTAATGAATGGTGCAGTTTCTGTTACAATCTTATTATCAACAAAAGCAAACAAATGCTGGTTACTTCTACAGCTAATATTGACTTCTTTATATGATCTGTTATTTTGAACACTGGGGATAGACAGAAATATGCTTACCATTCAAGCTGATCAATCTGCATCTAACAAAGCCTGAGAGACATACTGTATTTATGCATTGTTTAAAATAAAGTTTTGTTTGTTTTGCTATATTTAAAGGAATGACCCATGTTATATTAAAGTACATTATAAACACAGAAATCTAGTGCCCTATGTCAGAAGTTCTACTTTTTTAAAATCTGAGTTTTGGTAACTCTCCAAGAAAAAGTCCATCTTCTGTTGATGGACTGATACTGCAAACAGCTCTGAACTAGGATGGCCTAGTACAGTGATAGCGAACCTTTTAGAGACCGAATGCCCCAAAACCGCCCCCGCGGTTTGTTTGATTGTTAATCAATTGACTAAATCTGATTTTAATCAGTGTAGCCCTACCTAGAGTTCTTTTTTAAAAAAAAAAACTTTTGCAGCAAGCATCTTATTATTTATGAATTCACTTTGCATGTTCTATAAAAACACACACACTTCAAATACATTTATTTCAACAGGAGTCAAGTGTGTATTTGCATAGAACAGCAATTTCTTCAAAGAACACACCCTGTCACAAAACTAGTTCCAATATAGAGTCACTTAAATTTCCAATCTGAAACCTAACTTCCGTGACCTGATAAATGTATAAATCCACAAATAATTTTTAAGGTTTGGTAAATGGTGGCCTCCCTCTCTTTGAAAAACACAGCGTGAACACATTACCTCAAATACTGTCTCAAGGACATTTTGTTTTCTCATATTATGATGCCAAAAGAAACTTGAAAATCATTCTTTTAGAAAACAGCCAAGGCATCAGTCCAGTATTCAACTGATTTTCTGGAACAAAGCCTAAATTAACCAATCTAATCTTATTTTTACAGTATCTACTCTATTACATGCTCTGTTGGCAAAAAGCCTTATTTATTATTATTTAGGCCTACTTCAAATATTATTAATGTGTATCAGGCAAAATTTTAGTAGTATACATTGTAGATATTTTTAATCACATCATTGGACAGAACTAAAATTCTGAAATGCCAAAAGAATTGACGCACAGCCATGGCTTATGCTGCCTACAAGAAGCCGAACATTTTTCAAATAGAAAAATAATATTCATATAATATTTGTATTCATTTTAGTCAAGTTTTTATCAAGTACATCTTTATAATTAATGTTAAGTCACTTAACATTAAATAAATTTGTCTACAGAGCCATAAAGCTGAAGTACCTTTGAAATTCTATGTAAAATTCTGTGCGGAAAGTATCTGCTTTGGTATCAATTTCCAGCTTAATATAATGAGTTAAATTTCAATATGTTGCCTGAGATTGTTAAATCTTTATGGATTTTTTTTTTTTAAAAAAGAATCGCTATCCTTTCTAAATGCAAAATTAACAAATGTAAAAATCTTTCTCAAAACACAAAAAGTTAACATACAGTGAGGGAAAAAATTATTTGATCCCTTGCTGATTTTGTACGTTTGCCCACTGACATTCTATGTCCAATGATCAGTCTTGAGGGCAATAGAAGAAGGGGACGACAGAGAATGAGGTGACTGGATGGAGTCACTGAAGCAGTAGGCGTGAGCTTAAATGGACTCCAGAAGATGGTAGAGCACAGGAAGGCCTGGAGGAACGTTGTCCATGGGGTCGCGATGGGTCGGACACGACTTCGCAACTAACAACAACAATAACAAATATTTTAACAGTGAGAGAAACAGGAAAAAAAAGTTATAAATTGATTTGCATTTTAATGAGTGAAAGAAGTATTTGACCCTTTCGCAAAACATGACTTAGTACTTGGTGGCAAAACCCTTGTTGGCAATCATAGAGGTCAGACGTTTCTTGTAGTTGGCCACCACGTTTGCACACATCTCAGGAGGGATTTTGTCCCACTCCTCTTTGCAGATCCTCTCCAAGTCATTAAAGTTTTGAGACTCACGTTTGGCAGCTCGAACCTTCAGCTCCCTTCACAGATTTTCTATGGGATTAAGGTCTGGAGACTGGCTAAGCCACTCCAGGACCTTAATGAGCTTCTTCTTGAGCCACTCCTTTGTTGCCTTGGCCATGTGTTTTGGGTTACTGTCATGCTGGAATACCCATCCACAACCCATTTTCAATGGCCTGGCTGAGGGGAGGAGGTTCTCACCCAAGATTTGATGGAACATGGCTCCGTCCATTGTCTCTGATGCGATGAAGATGTCCTGTCCCCTTAGCAGGAAAACATCCCCAAAGCATAATGTTTCCACCTCCATGTTTGACAGTGGGGATGGTGTTCTTGGCGTCACAGGCAGCATTTCTCCTCCTCCAAACACGGTGAGTTGAGTTGATGCCAAAGAGCTTGATTTTGGTCTCATCTGACCACAACACTTTCACCCAGTTCACCTTTGAATCATTCAGATGTTCATTGGCAAACTTCAGACGGGCCTGTACATGTGCTTTCTTGAGCAGGGGGATTTGGCAGGCGCTGCAGGATTTCAGTCCTTTCTGGCGTAGTGTGTTACCAATTGTTTTCTTGGTGACTATGGTCCCAGTTGCCTTGAGATCATTGACAAGATCCTCCCATGTAGTTCTGGGCTGATTCTTCACTGTTCTCATGATCATTGAAACTCCATGAGGTGAGATCTTGCATGGAGCCCCAGACCGAGAAAGATTAACAGTTATTTTGTGTTTCTTCCATCTGCGAATAATCGTACCAACTGTTGTCACCTTATAACCAAGCTGCTTGGCAATAGTCCATTCCAGCCTCGTGTAGGTCTATAATCTTGTCCCTGACATCCTTGGACAGCTCTTTGGCCTTGGCCATGCTGGAACGTTTGGGACCTGATTGATTGCTTCTGTGGACAGGTGTCTTTTATACAGGTAACAAGCTGAGATTAGGATCACTCCCTTTAAGAGAGTGCTCCTAATCTCAGCTCGTTATCTGTATAAAAGACACCTGGGAGCCAGATATCTTGCTGACTGATATGGGATCAAATACTTATTTCACTCATTAAAATGCAATTCAATTTATAACTTTTTGAAATGCATTTTTCTGGATTTTATTGGTGTTATTCTGTCTCTCACTGTTAAAATAAACATACCATTAAAATTATAGACTGACCATTTGTCAGTGGACAAACGTACAAAATCAGCAGGGGACCAAATAATTTCCCCCTGTAATTTATAGAGAAGATCACTTAGGAATTATTGCTCCTTGTCCACTAAAATATACTACAGTAAGGTCTTTCTGAACTCTAGTGCTAGTATGTAGTAATGAAAAATTGGTAGTCACCCACTTGGAATCCTAGATTATCATTCTTTGGCCTAGATGATAAGCTCCTAGGGTGATTTATAGGTTATAATAATAAATATATGAAATGTTGAGATCACAATATAGTCTGCAGTATATCTGCTACATGTTTCGATACCAATTGGCACTCAAGATGGCTGACAATATATTGCCTCAACATACTAATGGAACTCTTTTTCCAACAATTATCAATTAAAATCCTCTGTTAAAGATATCCAATTTCTATATTTTCCCCTTTACTTTGGAATTATTGCTTCTGCACAGAGTTTCATATAATGTTATTCCTTATACACAAATACAGGACTACGCTTTAAGTATTGTTTTAAATAGTACCAAGAGTGTGATTTTTCTTTGTGGTCAGTATTAGAGGTGTGTAGAACACTTCCAAAGGGAACCATTTTTACCAAAAACATTATTTGTGTTCAGACTGGGTTATTTCAACTATTTTGGAAATGTTTTCTGCTTGAAACAGAATGCTGAAATTGTGGAAAAAAGCTGTTTTGAACTCAAAACACGTATAGAATCATTGAAACAGTCTATTTTTAATAAACCTAACCTAATATTTTAAATGCAAAATGATGGCTTTGAACTTTATATACTTCACATTTGAAATGCTCTGAATCCAAATGTCTTGTGAATTTTGAAATATGTTTCTTGAATCTATGATTGTAAACATAGGCAACTTTTTCTTGAAGAACCTCCATGGAATTCAGCAAAAAATATTTCAAACAAATTTATGGTTGTGTGCTGTAGCCAATTCTTTTCAATGATGCAAACTGTAGCAGGAAAACAAAGCTTACCTGCAGGTTGGATATTATAAAGTGAAGGATCAACCAGGGGAACATTCTGAGGTGTGGGTTGAATTGTATTACTTGTTACTTCTATAAATAATAAAAAGAGAAAAAGAAATGTGCATATTTAAAAACATCATATGTTTACCTTAAAAAGAATGTAATCTATGATTTTAGAATAATTTTTGAGAACTTTTAAACAGTAATTAGAAATTGGGAAGAATGTAATACTTATATAGCATTAATGTTTCATATCGATCAGCAATTTAATTTCTATAGCACAAAAACATGCCTAACTTGATGCTTAACAGAATTTTCTGGTAACTGCATGTCAATTCTATTAAGAACAAAATGAGAGAAGGAATGATCTAGTAAGTAGGGTACTTTTATTCTTACAAGAATGTAGCATCCCTCTCTGTTACTTAACTATGTTGAAAAAACACAAGGAAATAATCAGAATCTTTATTTGATATGGCTTATGTTGATTTTTTAAACTACATATTTTGGGTTTTTTCTTTGTAATGTTAATGCCATAACCCAAAATATAATGGAACTACTTCATTTTTTTTAATATAGTGTCTTTCACTGCTTATTTGGACAACCTAATTTTACAGTGAATAAATGAGTGAAAAATAAGCAGAGTGTTTAATAGGCAAGTGAGCAAATTTTAGTGATTTTAGAGAAAGATATACTTAACTTAACTGAATAGTATTTTAAGTTAAAAGTATTTATACTTTGTTGGTTACAGAGTTATACACAGGTGGTTGTTTAGCAACCATTCGTTCAAACCTATGACAGCACTGAATGGATGGAAGTTACAATTGTAATTATTGCTGGTGCATCATCCTTGCAGTCACGTGATAGCAATGTGCAACTTACCCTTCTGGCTTCCCATAAATAAAGTCAATGGAGAAATTGGCAGGATATCAGAAATTGTGATCAGATGAAGCCTTTGCTTAGTGACCTGCATGGCCTTCATTCAACAACAGAAAATGGGACTAATAGAACTGTCATCACTAAATGGTGCAGTGATATAGGTTTTTTTTTTTTTTAACCTATGAACAGTCACTTGATGATGGAACTTCCAGTCCCAAAAAGCACCATTAAACAAGGACTACTTGTAATGGAAGTAGTAGATCTCTTAATATGAATTGCTGAGGAGCACAAATGGGCGTACTGTAGGTTACATACCTTGCCATAGATTTCATACTATTGTGTTTGCATTTGGTTATTCAGTATGGGAACACAGCAATTATCCCTCTATGGGCCTTTTGGTATAATTGAGCATAGTTTTTTTTTCTTTGTGTTTATACAGTGCAATTTAGTTTCTCTTATCTTTTTAAACCAGCAATGAATTTATAATAAATATTGTTGCACTATTTCGGGTAGCTTCTCTTCACTGAAAAAATTCTAAGGAATAGTTTTCAATGTCTTATTACAGTGATGGCGCACCTTTTAGAGACCGAGTGCCCAAACTGCAACCCAAAACCCACTTATGCATCGTCGGGTGCTGGGTGGGTGTGGCCCATTGGCTGGGCGTGGCTGCGGTGGTAACGGCAGACTGGGTGGGACTAAAAAGTTCAATCAATCAATTCCAACTTTGCAAGATCTTTTTTTCCCCGCGAGAAGTTGAAATTGACTGATCGATTGAAATTTTTTTTTTTTTGTATATGGCGGCGGAGGCCTAAAGCGAAAATGTTTTATAAAACCCAGCTGAAGGCATAGGACTGGGGCAATGGCACGCGTGCCCACAGAGAGGGCTCTGAGTGCCGCCTCTGACACTCATGCCATAGGTTCGCCACCACTGTCTTATTACATAGTTAACAAATCTAGGAAATGACAAACATGCACTACTAAATATATACAGATTACTCACCTGTGCTATGGGGTACCTCTGCAGGAGTATTAGCAGGGGCATGAGCACCTGGTGGGATATGTATGCCACTGTAACTGCTAGTGGGAATATTACTTGATTGGAAGGTAGATGATGGTTCTGATTCTTGGCTGGATGGTGTTGGAGAACTGGTTTGTTCATTTTCATCATCTTGCAAATAAAAACCAGAGACATGCTGATTTTTAAAAAAATCAAAATTCAATGCACAGATAGCCTTTGTTTAGCAACTGCTTTATTTAATGAACATTTGTAGTTACAATAGTGATGATTAAGTAACTTTATGACCAATTCTTTCATTTATTACCTTTACAGGTTTGTAAAGCAAGGAAAAACTGAAATAAGATCATAAGAACAGCTGTGGTTTCATTTAGCGACTGTTTTGCTTAATGCGTGATCCGATCTGTGGTTGCTAAACAAGGACTACTTATAGCATTAATATCTGTGGATTAGTGTCTTCCAGCTTCACCTATTTTGGATAAGCACTGTGACGGTAACTAAAAGCATCTTGGAATATTAGTTATTATGCTATAAGAATGTAGTAAATCTTAAGGATAAATTAACACTAAGACATATAGGATCAATGTTCAGTAGTTGTACTGACAACATCTAAAATTGACTATGGAAGAGCAACATTTTTAGAGTCATCTCTGATGAAATGGATGGCACATAAATTTAATGAAAAATAAATAAACGTGGATGCGATTATATTGACTGACAATATAGCCCAAGAGACTAAGATGCTCGGTTGGCACAATAATGCTAAGATTTGAACAGAAAATGTCCATGCTCTGATTTCAGCACAAGAAAGTTGCTTGTTCCTTTTACCCCTATGCGTATTCGCTTCAGAAATTACTTTTCTGCATAGCAGCTGCTCCTATTATTCTCCATTATAATTCTCATGACCTTGTTACCCAATCATGAACATCAGTGGGTCTAATATTATAAGGCTTACTGATTTTCAAGAATAATACTTTCAGAAAACACAGTGATGTTTAAAAGTTAGCTCATTCTAGTTTCTTTTTAGTTTCAAGAGAAGGAAGAAATTGAGCAAGCTGAAAGGAATGGGGGAAGTCTTCCAGTACATTTAAACAATACTGCTTTTCTTTCTGAAAAGCACAAAGCAAGAACTATGAATTCTTCAGATATTCTGGAATACAAACATTTCCATATGAACTTTGGCATGGTAACACCCTAAACTTTGTGGGTCACATATCACATAAAGTAGATCTTTAAGAACATTATTTAAAACCAATGTACTTATTTTTAAGCTACAAAATTAGTATAGTAAATATACCATGAGCTAGATATTCATCCTATCCAATCAATAAATTTATTATGTATTATATTATTTATTTTTTATTATGAAATGAAGCAAATATTTTAAAATATTGGTTTTTAAGCAATGATATATGATAAAGCATACTTCGATATCTGGTGATTTCTCAAATTACTACTATGCATTTAATACATAAACAGACACACAATATATTTTGTTGAATGTCAAATTTTATTTCAAGCCGAATCAAGTAAACAAACAACTCTCCCTCCCCCAAGTTCAGTCACCCAGCAAAACATAGCTAGGGCTAACTGGAGGAAAAAAAATTATTAGCATAAAAATAAAGGATGCATAAAATGCTATCCTCCTCAATCAGGCCGGGATACAGCACGGAAACGGCATTGGTCACACTGGTGAATGATCTCTAGAGGGCCCGGGACAGGGGTTATTCCTCTGTCCTAGTTCTTTTGGACCTCTCAGCGGCTTTTGATACTGTGGACCACGGTATCATGCTGCGGCGCCTGGTGGAGTTGGGAGTGGGAGGCACCGTTATGCGGTGGTTCTCCTCCTTCCTCACCGACCGTACGCAGTCTGTATTGACAGGGGGACAGAGGTCGACCCCAAGGCCCCTAACTTGTGGGGTGCCAC